CCCCCAAAACCCCAAAACCCCAAAACCCCTGTGTTTATTATATTTATTGGAAATGATTCAGGTATGAAGGATTTTCCTTATATTATAGCAAAGCCTTATCGATTCGAGACTTTCACCATCAAACCAACTCATCAGTCCTATTCATCAAACTCGGAACAAAGCTTCAGTTATCATTTTAGTACTGATAGTACTGCTTGGGACTCTCACTGCGACTGAGATTAGCGGAAAATCAAGAAGAGTTTTAGGAGTTGAAGATGAAATGGTACTTATGGTCCAAGTAACTAGGCATGGCGCCAGAAGCCCTATAAGTGAACTTCAAGGATTCGAGATACAGGCTGAAAGAAGTGGAGAGTATTCGGAAAATGGAGAATTTGGTGGTTTAGAGTAATTTAAAGCAATTTATAAGGCTAATGAATAACTAATTTTAGGAGCATTAATACTGAGCCTTGGACAGATGGATTAGGAGAACTTACTGCGTCAGGAGAGAGACAACATTATCTTCTAGGAAGTAAACATAGAAAGAAATTTATTGAAGATGATGTTTCTCTATTAAGCAAAGACTTTGATCCTAAGGAGATTCATATTACATCCACTCCATTTAATAGAACTATAATGAGCGCTTACTCAGAAAACAAAGGGTGGTATCCTCTTGGCTCAGTTGAGAAACTCTCATCTGAAGAAAATAAGGAAGCATTACCTCCATTTGAAATAAAGGATAAAGAAAAAATCATTAAGAACTTGGGAAATGACCCTACAAAGCATGGATATCAACCTATTCCTATTCACGTCGGAGGAGATGAATTTAATCAGATGTTCAGAGCTTACTCATCTAGCGTATGCCCGGTTGCAAAGAAATTTGAACAAAGAGTAAAAGAAGAAGCCAAGTTTGTTGAGATAAATGAGAGATACAAAGATAATATCTTGAAAATGATCAGGGAAAATTGGGGAGTTGAAGAAGAGCTCAACTTTGTCACTGCGACTGATCATACAGATAATTTCTATGCTTCTTACTTCGATGATAGACTTGTTCAGAAATATAAGCTTCCGATTGATCTAGTCGACAGAATCTTAGCAGATCAATTTTACTTCTTTACGTTCTACTTTGATGAGATGGTTAGGATCTCCAGTACTAACTTCCTGAACTTTTTGCATACCACTTTTGACTCAAAGATAAATTCCATAGTCACTGGAGAGGATGATGGAAGTGGTATTAAAGACAGGAAATTGTTCTTCTTTAGTGCTCATGATACTACAGCTGCTGCCTTCCTGTCAGGAATAGAGCAGAGGCAGGAGCTCCAGCCTTTCTACGCTACACATAATTTGATTCAACTGTGGAAGAAGGCTGGTACAGATGGAACTCAAGACGACCATTATTATACTAAGTGGATATATAATGACAAAGCTCTTAATGTTAATGATCAATGAGATGAAGAAGGAAGATGTCCATATGATTTATTCAAAGAATACTTAAAATCAAGAGAATACCAAGGAGATGATTGGTATTCAGCCTGCCAAGATATCCAACCACCTTCGTTTAGTGATTACGGAATCATAGGAGGCGCTATCGCAGGAGTTTCAGCGATCGGTTTCCTCTCCTATTTTGGCATTAAAAGGCTTTTCTTGGCTGCTTAAGATTCAATATTATGCTTTAAGAAAGGGGTTTTGGGGTTTTGGGGTTTTGGGGTTTTGGGGTTTTGGGGTTTTGGGG